TCTTTGTAAATATATTTATATATATGTATATATATATTATAGGGTGGCAATAAAATCCCTATACAGCTACTTATAATAACAATTAAGACAAAACAATTAATCAACTGTCCAGAAATTTATAATTAAAATGTTTCTGGTTAATTCTGGTTAATAACAATGAAATGATATGGTAAACAATAGTAAATTAATTGCCGATACTGTTCGAACTGTAAGCCACCTGCTTCAATACTTTGTTTTTTCATTACAACTAATTAAGTAAGTGTATAATGACTTTATTGGCACTTCATATATATATATATATATATATATATATATATATATATATATCGAGAGAGAGAGAGAAATAGAGAGAAAAAGAGTATAAATCGGGAGAGTGTCAGGGATGGACAGTATTAATGCAGCGCGTGGGACAAATACTCATTAACAATTAATAGAGAGATAATTGCTGGATCGGTTGATTGATATAGGTAGATAATTGGATATCAGAATTTATAAATGGAATTATTGACTATATATATATATATATATATATATATATATATATATATATATATATATATATATATATATATAGGATCGCCACTGTGAAGAAATTATTGTAACTCCTATTCTCAATAATCTATTGTAATAAACAAAAGCACTAATTAGCCAAGCCTTGCGGTCGTTTTTGACTGTAAAATATTCACACCTGCTGGGCATCTACATCGGCTTATCTTCAATAATCTGTTATGGCGAAAGAAATTACGAATGTTATCGCGTTAATCACTCGCTGAACGCACTTAGTGATCTTTTTGGGCAGCCAATCCCAACATTATATCTAAGGAAGGAAAGAGGCGTAGCTTTGGGGCGAAGATCGCAAGTTTGAAATATTCTGTATTACTGTTATTAGCCTAACATCAGCCGCGCCAATAATGTTGTTCGCGCCTCTTTTATCACGTTGATCATCTTAATGGCCGCCATTTGCAAACTATAGAGATTCATATCTGACCCTGCAGGACTTAATCGAAAAGAAGCCTTTTTTTTTGGTATGGGGGAAAATAGAGAGTGAAAAGTTGATTTTTTTTTTATACGAAACCGGATAAAACAGACAAAATATAGGAGGAAAAATGCAGAAGAGGAATTAGAAGATGGTATAGTGAATAATAAAAAGAAAAGTCTTGGAAAGAGAGTAAATAAAAGAATGCATGTGTGTCTGCGCATGCGCTTGCAAGGTGAATGTATTTAATAAAAAGAAGGAAAAGAAGTGGATACGAGTTTTAGAGAGAAGTGAAAAAGGAAAGCGGAAAGAGGGAGGAAATAAAGGATAATCTACAATTTGAGAGGAAGAAGTGAAACGGTGGTAGAAAAATAGGACAGAGTAAGCAGCATAATCAAAAAGATAAGCTATTACATATCTTATACAATCTTCTAAAAGTTGAATTATTAGGACAACATTTTAAAACTAACTGTTGCATATCGACCAATCCAGAATAAGGTTCCTCGATTTGGAATCCATGTGCATTGATAAGGAGCGGCTGTAATCACTCGCTTCAGACCTGAAATATATTTATCACTCAAAAAACAACAAAAAAAATCTGAACTATTCACATCATTTTTATTTATGCTGTTGGAATGTAAAGTTAGCCTAACAGATATCGGCGTTTAAAGTGGAAGCGGCGAAGCGTGTTTATAGTCTCTTGTAACCACTTTCGCACTAATGACCTTGGAAAAGGTATGAATCCGTCTTCTCTTCCCTCCCCACAACTATTGGATATATAACTGCGCAGGCTCTGCTCTCAGCACTTTCGCACTAATGACCTTGGAAAAGGTATGAATCCATTCCTTTCACCCCCCCCACTTCTATTAGATACATAACTGCGCAAACTGTGCTCTCTCCTCTTGACGGCTGCCAATCTCGGCGAAGGATTAAAAGGAATTCAAAACCGAGAAGAAGGCGAAGGGAAGACGCTACATTATCTTCCCGAAGAAAATATATAACATATATATATATATATATATATATATATATATAATAACAATGTTATTATAACAATGTTATTATATTATGTCAATATAATATAATAACAACTTTTCTTTCAGTTGAACAGAAGTAATGCATCCAATGAAAGCCTAACGCACTTTAACAATGTTTCTAAATATGGGGCGCATGCGTAGAATGTGCACAGTCCGGCTTACTATACCAAAAGAATAAGGGGACAATTCGAGAATGAGTTATTAACAGTGAATTGTTTTCTAGTGAATCTGAGCGAGTGTTAATGTTAATACGTGTTAATACATATACAATGCATATACAGTATGCATACATAAAATATTTTGTGTATATGTACGTAAATATATATTTGTCATACAGGGTATTTCCCGTCTCCTCACACTCGCGGAGTGATGGGTGACTTTGTGTGAAAGCGTAACTAAATACCCAAATTCAGCCACCGTTGCAAGGAAATTGTTGTTACCATTTCCATCTTCATATTTAGCTGAATGTGGCTTTAGTGCTGTAAATGATTTGTTATTTGAGAAAAGAAATCAACTGGATATCACTAAACGAGGAGACTTGAGGCTTAAGCTGACTAAATTAGTGCCGAATATAAAATCTATCTGTAGCAGGCATGACGCACAAGGATCTCACTAACAGTCATTTTGGGATGAGCTTAAATTTCATTTTGCATTATTATTTCACAATTAAAATGATCAAAGTATATTACAGAATAATCTTCCATTCAAATATTTTATATTTCTGCCTTTCAGTTCTCTATTATATGTTTTGAAACTATATATATTTAACTGTCTTTTTGTTTTTTCAAATTTCTCTCTTTCATGGACACCGTGGTCTTTGGAGGCTTGTTTCGAGAGAGAAATTAATGGCTTTTTAAGCTTCCTTCACGTGAATTGCAGTAAAATTTTGAACATGCAAGAATTTAATATTACGGGGTTGGGGACACCAGAATTTTAGAAATACCAAAGTGGGGCATGGCCCAAAATCGATTGGGAACTATTGCACTATAGTCTACAAGACAAAAATCAGACCATTATGCTGTAGAGAAAACTAAGAACTAAATAGAACAAAATGTCTTCTAGCCAAACAAGTTATTGAGTTGATCTCTATGATGTGTCTAAAATCATTACTCTAATTAATTTTGAAAATAAATAGTTAAAATTTATTTTCCCTTTATTTTTCTTGTTTTTCGTGACGTTCATTCTGTACAAGGCCCGGGGGTCACTCGAGGTAGAGGGTAACGTTTGGAGGCCATTTGTTTGTATAGGAGTGGAAGGTAATGTTTAACCCTAGCTTTAAACACGTTAAGATTGTAATGATCTGGGAAGCATTGCCTTGGGAGTCTGTTCCGCGGGAAGAAGCTGTTCGAGTGGAACTTACTTCTCACCGATGGAATACGGAGGGAGGGTGGGTGGTTTTCTACTCTGTAAATGGCATGGCTGGGTCGTGACTACTTGTTACTCGGAGAATACACGGACATTTCCAAGTTACTAATTTTATTTCCTGAGATATGGTACGGAGTCTAAGTTGAGTAAGGACCGCCTGTTGATGGCCTAAATCATTCGAACGAGTAACATTCATTTAGAAAGGGAAAGAATAATTAAGAAAGACTCAACTGTTATTGTTTTTATTTTTTTTACAGAAGGTTCCCCCTGTACAAGGCCCGGGGACCACTCGAGGTAGAGGGTTACAGTAAGATGCGGTTTATACGAATAAAAGCGGAAGATATTGGCTAACCTTAAACTTGAACAGGTTAAGATTATAGTGATCGAGGAAGCATCCCCTTGGGAGTTGGTTTCACAAAGCAATGGTTCGTGGGAAGAAAGTGTTAGAGTGGAACTTACTCATCGATGGAATACGCAGGGAATGTGGGTGGTTTTCTACAATGTAGGTAACATGGCTGTGTCCTAGCCATGAACTGACTAAACCAAGGAATACATTTTGACTGAGGAATTTCCATGGTAGTAGCAACAGAACAATGAGAGACTCTCCACATCCCAGCTGTGAGAGAGAAAGGTTGGAGGATGGGAAATGATTTCTCACCTCGAGGAATCTGAGACGCGTTTGGACTCTATCGATCCTGGAAAGTGAGGACTGGGCAGCCTCTGTTTAAATATGACAACAGCGTTCCATTTTCGGCATGAACTGGCTCTTGTACAAGTAGAAGATATCACAAAGAGTCAGGTACTTTCTGGAGCGATACAGGAAATCGACCCATTTTTCTGAAAAGATTATTTTCTAAAAAAAATGATATATGTATACAGAATTGTAGGTCTATAAAATAAATATAAGTGAACAAAAATGTGTATCCAAAATCAAAAGAAAATATTTACACTGGGGTAATAGAATCCCTGACAACCGGACTAAGAAGGCCTTCCGGATGTGAGGAATTGGTTAAAAAGTCCGGATATGATTAATTAAAATAAAAGAACTGAAATCAGGTTTAACATTTATTTTCAATGTTTTATAGTAAACAAAATAAACTAATGGTGAGTGAAATATAACGGAATTGATTTTAAGGAAAAAGAAATAAATTATGTAATGTTAATGAAAATTCATTAAATTAAGTATGCCACATATGCAAAACAAATAATGTAACGAGGATTTTTTAATCGCTGTTGCATGATGATTCTTTCTCTTCTAATGTCATTCTCAACTTTTTCTGCATTTCGTTTTGCTTTTGTTCTTGAATTTTATTAAACGAAAGACACTTTTTAACTCTGCGGGCGTTACTGCAAGGACATATGGCACAGTGGATAAAGGCGTTGGTTAGATCCAGTGTGAGTTCAATACCAGGTTCAGGCAGTGGAGAACTTTCAGAGGGAAATTAACAGAAGATAACTGATAACTGACATCCATCAAACATGGCACATGTCTACTCTGTTGAGCGAAATTCGACATTCCAACCACCTGAAGAAGGGCGGAGCGTACAACGGCCGAAAAGATGAGTACAATAGTCCGAATAATGTAAATAATATATATATATATATATATATATATATATAGATTAGGATCGATAAAGAGCATGGGATAGATAGATAGACAGACTACGATCGATAAAGTGACTGCGATAGATAGATAGATAGATAGATAGATATGAAGAGGCTTAGATAGATTGATATATAGATATATGTTGACTAACGTAAGTAGGTATAAGACACATCATATGTACTTCAAGTATTTAATTCTTACAGAGAACCAATCTGAAAAAGAACAAAAAAACACGCCATCTAATTTTCTTTTATTATGACATTGTTATTATTTAATAACAATCAGTTGACAATCAGTCGAGTAAGTCTCAACTCAATCATTACCTTCTTGAATTATAGGAAAAGCCTTGACAATGGAAAAAAAAATTGGGGTAAGAGAGAGAAAAAGTGGCTGAAGTCCGCGAAAAGGTGAGGAAGGAAAGGAAAAGAGAAACTTGTAGGGATGGGAATAAGAAACAAAAATAAATTTCATTAATCATTCAAATCTTTTCCCGCCAATTATTTGATGGTCTTGTTTTATTTTTTATATATTTCTTAAATCCTTCTCCCCCCACACCAAAGCAAGAGTCAAAAAGGTGAAAAGTATCCAACCCACCACTTTTTGTAATTTTCCCTTAAAAAAAAAAAGCGAAGTGTCTTTTGTATTCACCCCCAGCCCTTTTCCTCGTCCGAGTTTGATTGTCCTCATAATTTTCGCCTTGCCTTGTCATTCAAATATTTCGCTAGTTTCTTTGGAGCCAAGTAATTCTAATGTTCAGTGAAATTAGGCTTTTATGATTTACTTCCTCTTTTTTTCAAGTGCAAACAAGTTTAGAGAGAAAAAAAAAAACACCATAAAATGTTAACAAAAAAAAAAAAAAGTATTTTGAAAAAAATAATGTCAACCATAATTTTTAAAATATTCCTCAGGATTAGGTAATCATAAGTGTAATTTACTAAGATTAGTACAACACAAGGTTAAAACGTGTGATATTACGGGTTTAAATGGATTTAGAAAAAACACAGCGTGCTACCTAGATATTATAAGACTTATATAAGTCGTAAGATACACACACACACACACACACACACACACACAAATTCCCCCATATATTCCACAAATTTAGACTGAGATAAAAACATATATATATATATATATATATATATATATATAAAAGAGACAGAGAGAGAGACAGACAGTCAGACAGAGAGGATATATTTTCCAAGCGTAGCTTAGATGCGACACAAAGCCGAAAGTAGGGGACACCCAGTGAGGATCGAACTCACTACTCAGTTATAATAGTTCTAGCGAGATAATACTAACCATTACACCGCCTCGATATATATATATATATATATATATATATATATATATATATATATATATATATATATATATATATATATATATATATATATATATATATATATATATATATATATATATATATATATAATATATAAAAGTGAACATTGAAGTCAACACTCAGAGGCGACAGGCTGTTTCATGCTAGGCGGCTGTCGCCTCTGAGGGTTGACTTCAATGTTCAGTTTTATATTTCTATTTACATACGCTCTAGCTCTGATATTGAGCACTTTATCCCATAAATATAACACAATAACAGTATATTTCTTCCATTATATATATATATATATATATATATATATATATATATATAATTCCTGTAGTTCACTGCTACGAACAAGCAGGAATTTTTTCTTCTGATGATGGCCATACTGGCCGAAAGAAGTCGAGAAACCTAATTGAAATAATAAAAACAAATAATATTAATATACAACGCAGTATGTCTGAAAACTTAATTTTTCAATATTTTTTATTATTCAAAACATATACATATTTTGTTAAAAATATATATATATATATATATATATATATATATATATATAAATAGACATGAGCAGACTAATACATATAAGAGCAACGAGATAAATAGATAGGTAGCTTAGTCTTATCTTTTGTCACTATCCAACTCCGTTCCGAAGAATCGTGACATATTTATGTGACCACGAAACTCCGAAGTCAGCATAACGGAAATATTAGTTAAGCGAAAACACTTTTTTCATATTAATTCTATTAACGCCCTATCTCTATGACATTACGTACTCGACCACAAAGCCTGCTTGCCTTAAATGCCTTTCTATTAGAAAACCACTGAAATATCAGCAATTCTGGTTTCAAAAACAGTCTCTCAGACTAACACTAATACACCCACACACCCCCCATACACCCCCATACACACACACGCACACACACATATATATATATTTCGATACGCATTTAATTTTTTCCTCTCGGAAACAAAATAATTTCCATGCCTGAGGATGACTGAATGTTGAAAGTACTTGCATATTAAAAAAATACCTTATACAGCTCATAATTATTAAAAACAACGATCATAACATTCATCGAGTGATTTATAGGTTAATAAAACTTTAAAATTTTGTTAGCGAAGGATTTCACCATTTTATATCGTTAACTTTACTAATCTACTTTTTGTATGAATGATTCATTTAATA